TGCTTCCATTTCGCTTCACAGTCCATCATGTCCGGATATTGCGTCACTTGCGGAAACATGTCCGAAGTTTTCTGCTTTTATGTTCCGTCATGTCCGGAAATTGCCGTCATTCATAATTTCACCATTTCCGATTGATATATCCTTGCATTTCCGAGTAATTCCGTCTATTTTCAATTTCGCTTCACAGTCCATCATTTCCGGAAACATGTCCGAAGTTTTCTGTCGTTTTATGTTCCGTCATGCGGAAACTGCCGTCATTCAAATTTCATCATTCCCGGACTATTCATCTTCGTGCATTTCCGACTAGTTCCGTCTTGCTTCCATTTCGCTTCACAGCCCATCATGTCCGGATATTCATCACTTCCGGAAGCATGTCCGCAGTTTTCTTTTTTTTTTGTTCCGTGATTTCCGGAAATTTCGGTCATTCAAATTTCATCATTTCCGGATTATTTCGTCGTCCTCCCGTTTTGGCCGGCTGGGGGGAGTTTGATCCAGTCCTGTTTTCTTTAGAGACTGAGACCCAACAGGATGTGTTGCTGGGAACAAGAAAACACACCAGTACACGACACGAGCAGACGTGCAAACGGTAACAAAACTGGATGCACTCACATGGATACACGAAGAGAGAGAGAGAGAGAGAGAGTGGGTGAGAGAGAGAGAGAGAAAGCGAGTGGAGCAACAAACCACAAACCACAAAACGTAAGCCGCAAGTCAGTGAGCGAGCGACAGAACCAGAGAGACATAAAATGACCAACAGCACGACCCAACAAGACTGACATCCAAACGACATTGGCAGTGCCGGCAGCACAACTACGGCCAAACACAGTCCGTGAAACCAGCGAGACAAAGATGCAACTGTCCGCCAACTTACCGAGTAGACTGTTCTTCGTGACCCGGAAAGGCCAAATCGAAAGCCTGGGGAAGCTACCATGAATTCAACTAGACACTTTCAGGATTTCCAGCACAAACGCCGGCATCGAATGTGGGGAGAAACACCAGCATCGCAACTCTGCAGCAGCGTCTCCAAGCGCTGCAAGACCAATATTTCTGAGTCGTTGGTCTTCTTGAACCTCAGCTGTACAGCCTGCCAGGACTTTCCAGATGCATGGAGCCTGAAGAGCCAACATCCAGCCTTACACCGTCAAACTATCAACCGCCAACACACTCCCAGTACCTATCACTGCCGCAGTCCGACGCGTGCAGCACCCAACGTGCAGCCTAAGATTAAGGCTAAGGGTCACTTGGACGTGAGGCTTATGCCTTGCCCGCCCCCACCAGCCAGCACCCTGTTTCGGCACCTCAAGGTCGCTATCATGTGGAGCATCCTCGAGCGATAGTGCTCCCGCCAGAGCCCGTTGGATCGCGCTCGGGCTTGACCGTCCTTGTTCCACATCCGCGTCTGCCTGTCGCATGATGATACAGCACCAAAGACCCCGAGAAGAGCAGACCCAAGCCCGCCACGAACCACACAGCATCACAAGGGGGTTGCAGAGGAGAGCCCACCGAGCGCGATGCTGATGATGATGATGATGATGATGATATCACAACCGCCAAGCGGACCCAAGCCTCGCACAGCACCACCCACCCGCCACACGGCGTCATACTGACAAGAAACGTACCGTCACAAACACGGGCGGCTTGGGGCTTGGGGTCGCGGCTAACTGTTGTTGTCGTTGTTGTTGTCGGATCTTGATATCGCCGCAGCGTATCAACAGCCCCAAAGGTCTCAGACATGGCACCAAACCAAACTACACCAAGTCACACCCGCTTGACTTTGCCCCCGCCTACTCTGCCAGGCATACGGTCGACTCCGGAATTCATTTCACAGTCGACATGTTCACTCGCGTCAAGAGGATCGCGGCTTCGAAGCGTCTCCCGTTTATGAGGATCGTGGCCCGAACGCCCCTTGCCCAAAACGAGCAGTACAAGTGACCAACCAAGATCTCACTTGGTTTATGGTAGTGCAAATGTCTGATATTGTGACCGCTGACCGACCGCGGTGGCACACAACGACCGACCCACAAAAATCACACCACTGGGGAGGCGGGCGTGGGACGTGGATACCCGCGCCTGCTCCCTTGGTATTTGTTGGGGTTGCTGGGCGGGGGAACGGGCCGACGCAAATGACAATTTTTGTAGATTATGTCTGGTGCTGACACCTTGCTGTGGTTTGCTATGGTATCTGGTGTGCGCTGATTCTGTGACTGAAGTTCTGGAATCAGTTCAGAGCAGCCTTTCGGGTCGAGTTGCAGGATTTACAGATTCGGGTAGCTGGCAGCAAACCTGCAAACCACGGCACTTGTTTACACACCGGATGGGCGTCACTTTGTCCCGACCGCTGTCACCCGCACCGCTGACTTCCTGGGTCTCTGCGAATCAATAGGGCTGCTACTCTGAACCTCAAATCGAGTTGCTGCGATTAAATGAAGATTGCCATATTGCTTTGTACGAGTATAGTTCATGGTGGACTCTACCAGTTCCGGGACGCAACTTGGAACCAAACAGTACAAGACGAAAGCACTTACTAGATGGTCTATTTCGCACATTACATGTGCAGACATCTGGACAGTGTGAGCCGATGAACTTGCTTCACTACAGTGTAAGTAGCCAAGAATGCTGCAGACCTGCTGAACTTGGGGACACAGCGCACATCAAAGCTGAAGATGGCTTCAAACTTTGGCAGGGTTCCCCGGATTGTCAGAATGCTGCTTGATACCGAATGGCCTGAACGTAGACTTCACTGCTATTGAAGAGGTCATTGCGTCCTGCAGGCGGGCGCCGTTGCAGCATGGGCATTTCAGCACCCGCTCATTGCAAGCCTACAGGATTGTCCATACAGACTCTGCAAATTCAGGATTCACCAACACATGTTTTGCTGGGCTACAGTATTAACCCGTGAGGCGGATCACGCTCCATTCGCTCGACATGTTATGGGACAGTCCTTCCGGAATTCCCACGGACCTCTTCTTGACCCGGGTTTCGGTTTTGACCGAGAGGCCATCACGTTTGATGGTGACCTCAAGTATAGTTACGCTGGCCACAACAGCGCAAAATGCTACCACCTTCTTCAGACCTCCTTTGTCCTCATTGAACCCGTGATGTCAAATGTCAATAGGAGAACTGCAGCCGAACCAATAGAGATTCTTGGGAAGGCCATACAGTGGTTGAAACCTACACTGTTGCCCTCCAATCTGGGAGCCGTGGTGCAGCAAGAACGTTGGGCTTTCTCGGATCCCACTCGACTGATTCAAATGCCCGGGGCCCGCCCCCAGAGCCGCGGATGTAGCCTCTTCACGTTCGGGGTCTGTTCTGGGGAAATGCTGGGGCGGCGTCAATTGTGAGATATCACGAGTATGTGCAATTCAGATTCAGGGTCTAGAGTCTAAAGAGTTGGAGCATCTGTACCTTAGGTCTTCGAAGTTTCGGACGCACTAATTCGGTTGCCTGCGAGTCTGTCGGACTCAAAACCATAGTTACGAGCTCGGACCCATCCAGTCTTAATTACAAAGCGGCGCAAACCCATTTCATGTTGGATCTGTTTTAGGTGCTTTCGCACGGAAGCGTAGTGCTGGATATTGTGGCCGGTGTCAAGGTGAGAATCGGGGCTGGAAACAGAGCTTCCTGAGCGCCTCGAATTCACAGCACAAGCTGTTGACGTCATCCGGATGCCTGTAAACCCACACAAAGTAGCCCCACATACGCTATTCGTCTACAACTCTGTCGACCATTGAAATCTAGATCATTAGGGAGAGCTGTGCCTACAAACCGACCCCACGGGGAAAACCCCCCGGCTTCCAGGAAGACTGGTTGGCCTCGCATGTTGTAGGCCCGATCTGCCACGACTTGTCCTGATGCAATGTCCAGCAATGGTTGCGAAGATGTTCCGGTGGTTACACTGCTTCGTTGTACACCCACCCACCCACACCCACACCCACACCCACACCCACACCCACACCCACACCCACACCCACACCCACACCCACACCCACACCCACACGCTCATGCACACGCGCACGCACATGCACACATGTATATATATATATATGTATGTACATATATGGTCCAAGTACATAAGTAAATACAATATAAATAAATAAATTTATGGTCCCCCCCCCGCGTTATCCACCCGTTTGGCTGTAAATCCTGTCTGTTATGCAGCTATGCCCCTGACCCTCGCCCCCTTACTCTGCATAATGCTCTGTCTGTGTATACTGTGAACTCCAATACATGTGCAGCAATACAAAGACTACAGACGATACTTGATAGTAGAACTCTCTTCGCGCACTCCGTGAACCCTAGTGAGTTCAATAGGCCCTATTGAATTCAATAGGTTTGGCATGTACTTAACGCTGCTTGTCCAATGAATGCGAAATCCGGGAGCTGTATGTGCTATCGCCTCATCCCCATCCTCCTCCGCGTACTTCCAATTCGCGGCCATGGCTGAGATGCAAGTCTGAGGCGTCGTGAAGATCGATGACGGCGCAGCCTATCTTCGCTTAGTCCCCGCGAACATCTCGTCCTCATCGCAATCCTCGGCACCGGAGATTACAACCTCGCCCATCCCATGGGCCAAGTCCAGCAAGCGCGCGGACACAACGGTTTTGGAAGCCATCAACAGCGGGAAGGTCGTGGTGCATCCCTCGGCAGCCTGTGACATTGCAAGAGTTGCAGACGAGCATGAACAACATCCAGCGCTCGCTTGGGTTGCCACGGGGAGCAGCTGGCGGGTGGAATGCAGATGCTGACTCCAAGCTTGTGCTTCTCTTGGCTGCCGCAAAGAGGGTCGCTCCAAAGCCGAAGCCCAAGGCCATCAAGGATGCCAGCCCGGTTTTGGCCATCGGATGGAGCCCATTCTCACGGAAGTTGAGCCGAGCGTTGAGCCACACAACACCATGGAGGTCCTTAACGAGGCACACCCCCGCATGGAGACCGAGAACAAAACGGAGCCAAACGGCAACGTGGAGCCCTCATCGTCCTCATCGGGATCCTCCTCGTCATCCGCATCTTCAACGCCTAAGGCTGCTTTGAGGCATCGCATTCAGGAGTTGGAAGGATGGCTCGCCGAGGTAAACGAAGATCTTTGGCATGCGACTGAGGCGTTGGGTCTCAACGCCTAGGTCGGTGGCGGTCTCACGTTGGATGCAGCTACTCTTCCGCCGGCGTTGGAAAATGTGACGCTGCCCGTACTGTCTGATGCACATGCGACATGTTGTTATTATAGCCGTATGTGTCATGCACGGATCCGTGTGGATATTGCTGCGAGAATGAATCGTCCATGATTACCGACTATAAGCATTGTGACCCTCAAGCAAACAAGCTGTCCAGCGTTCTAGTTCTCTCTTCGTCCACGACCATGTCGGGCAGTGTGCTTGACCAAGCCATGAATGAGGTGTCGGATAAACGGTGGAGCGTCCGCTTGTTGCCAGTCCCCGACACCTTCGCCAAGGACCACGAAGTCAACAACTCCATTGCGGACTTCGTTGCTGGCATCTGCCGTCCTCTGGATCCGCAACTCGTAAAATCAGTCGCCGTCCTCTTTGACTCTCACGTCTCCGTGTTCGCTAGCGCTTCAACACTGACCAAGCCTGTTGCCGAGAGCAACGTGAGCAACTTGCCTTCCCCGATTCAGTTCGCGACGCCTCCGCCGAATACTGCCAGAGTCGACATCATCGTCGACAATAGCGGCGATGGGTTTGTCAGCGTCTTGAAAATCATCTACTTCGAGAAACCGATGCCCACCAACATCGCACTGAAGCTATACAGTGGTCATGCTCATGTGCCTGTCTTCCGACAGTGGCCCTGGACTGTAAAGAAAGGCATCCAGAGAGCACTCAGAAAGGTTGCGGGCAGTCATGTCAGGCGGCATGTGCTTGAGGACAAGCGTGAGCAAAGGTTGCAGCGATCCGCGTCTGCCCAATGGTCGCCTGAGGACGACGAACTCTCTGCCGGTATCCGCTATATACATCGATGAGAATGCGAGGGACTCAACGAGCAGACCTACTGGACACTGACCAACATCAAGACAGACTCAGGGTCTCCTGTTGCTGGATGGCCCGAGGTTAAAGTCCGGAACATGTGTCAGAACAAGTCGCGGGGGGTCTCCGGGGCTGTTCCGCAGATGGAGTTTCCACTCACCACGTACAGCCTCCGGCTCCCCTTCGCCGAGCACGTGTTGATGAGCACTGCTATTCTCACGTTGGGACACCTGGGGTGGGGAAGACACCAGCCATCGTCGCCATGTGTGTGGCCATCGGAAGGTACCACGTCAGACGACTTCAACTACAAGGTGTCAAACCAGGCTGGCGGCGTGCTAAGAGCTTGGAGAATTTCAGGCAACGTGCGCCGCAAATCCAAGAGGCCCTATTTCTCGATGATCCTTCACGTCGGCGAAGTGACACTGTAGACCTCAAGGCAATTCTTCACTTCGGACGAAGATGGTACCGTGAGCGGCAGGTACAACAATGCCCGTGCGGCCCGTAACCAAATGGGAGCCATGGCTTCCAGCGATAGTGGCAAGGAGCCATCCGACGTGCTGCCCTCGGACACTACTCTCAATTCCGGGGCCTTCTTTAGACTCATCAATCCGCTGTTCCATGACGATCACATCAAGGATCGCCTTGCGATCATGAAGCGCGTCACGACCACAAGGCCTTATACGTCCGTTTCCTTTCTGAGCGGCCCGATGCGATTGCGCACCGCGTTGTGAAAAACAACCTCTACCTGGACCTCCTGGCAGACCGAGATAAAGATCTCTATGCGTCGTACAAACAGGGCACTACCGTACATGGGCCTACATTTGTGGAGGATGTTCAAAAGGAGCAAGCCATGATCGATTCTCGCGTGGAGTACATGAACAGCTTCCCCAGAATCCAAGACTACATAAAGGACTGCAATGACAAGCTACAGGAGTGGCTTCTTCAAATTCGTGTACTTCCAGATTCGCCAGACTCGCCTGAAAACACGGATGTCGCAATTGGCGGTCTTCATCTTTCACGACATATTGGGACAGCCGCCGCGCCAAATCGAATTGACCGCAGCCGCTTCAACTTCGGCGACTCACCTGCTCTCAAGCTCCGCAGACTGCGGTCCAAGTCTCCTATGCCTTTCGGCGCAGGACGCCGGTGAAGAGATGGACATTGCTGACCCAGCCAATGAGCATGAGATGGACGTTGCTGAGGGAGACGAAGATGCAGCACGCTTCTTGCATGGCTGAAGTGCTGGAAGTTAGCGTAGCCACATCATTTTGGAGGGCTCATAACCCTCGCGATTGTGTGCTATTTCGCTATGGCCAGTCATGGAAGTATAAACCCAACGGGCTTCCGAGCGATTGTAGACCGATGGTCTTGACATTCTCAGGGTAGATATGACCTCGCTCTATCGGCGGGCCGAATGCAAAATAGTTGCTGGCAGAGGTTACTGTGGTTTGCAATACTTTCCATGACTTGCAGGAGCTGTTTCATCTACCTGACCTTGACCTCTTTCGGATATGTGATATAAGCAGGAAGCAGGCTTGGCGCCTCTTGTGGGAAGACACCGTGGGCTGGTGTGGGACCTCGGGTTGACGCCATGGGAAAGCAGTTGCCGAGCAAGAAGCCGTCCGCCATCTTTCCCTGTTCGCCAATTTGACCAACAAGCCCGTCGGTCAAAGCTCCCAGACGAGACTGTGGCAGAAGGTCCCCTACGTTCGCGACGGCTTCGTCCTCCGCATGGACCGCGTGAAATGGAAGCGAAAATTCAAGGATTTTCTCAATGCGGACGAGGATCGCATGGTGAATATCCTCACCGAAGATGGATTCTTGCCAGATTGGAGCAAGATGAAATGCCCCTTCTGCAACGCCAGTGCGGTGTCACCACTGCAGAAGCGCGATGGGCTTCCACCACGATATCGCTGCCGAAGCAAGAACTGCCACAAGTTTATCTTGCCACATCATCTTCATCCCGTGTTCACTTCCGGCAAAGGGTCAGAAGGACATTTTCTTGCTGTACAAGGCTTTGCTCTACTCCTGCGGCTGGCCGTTGTCCTGCTTTCCAGCATCCACATTCTACTGGATATGAACCACAAAACCGTCGAGCGCATTGAGAAGCGCCTGGCCTTCGCTCGCAAAGCATATGTTGAGTCCTACCAAAAGTCAATGAGCTTTGGGTTCGCCAGGGGAAAGAAGTGGATGGAGGTCGAGGCAGACGAAGCGGTCTTCGACAAGTTCTTGCTTCCAGCGGAAGATTCGCCTGCGCGAAACAGAATGATGCAATGGGAGCAGTGGCTCGGCATGGTCGCCCGCGGCAAGCCATCCTCGTTGGTGTTGATCCGATTGCCCTGTGTGACCACACGCAAGAGAGCGACAGGTCCAGGCACTATCAAGAAGGTGCATTGGACGAAAATTGCCAAGACCTGGCTCAAGGGCCGCAACATCATACTCCACACCGATAGTGCTCGGAGCTACAAGGCCAAGGTGGCAGGGGTCCTGCATGACTCCGTGGTCCATCAGAAAAAACGTGTGTGGAAAAGGGGAAAATGGATTTGGCAGCCTTCAACCTTTCTGCGCCTCGCAAGGCACACGCTCCCTGATGGCCGCAGGCTTTCTTTGGAACCCAGGTGGTGGAGCGCGCGTGGCGGTTCATCAAAGACCGCCTCAAGATCAACCAGAACGTGAAATGCAACTCCACCCTCTTGCAGGCGAAGATCCGTTCCGCTCAGTTTGAGTATTGGCACAGAGGCAAGGATGCTTGGACCAGCGCCAGGGGGGGAGCTCTTTACCTGGTACATGAGCAACATCACGGAGAAGTTCTGGGACACGCAGTCACCAGGGCCAATCTAGCGTATGGGTAGCTCGCGGGCTGACGACGTACGGGATTCCACGCTTGGCTGCGTTCAACGCAAAAGCCGGATGCCCATGACACTCTGCTTTCTATCGGTCTGCCACGCATCCAACTCAACGAAGCCACATCCTCGCCAATGTCCAACCCCCCCAACGGGTGGATAAGCCGGGGGGGGGGGGGGGGGGG